TAGATGATAAAACAGTCATCATAAATTTTAGCATCCTGCGTTTTTTTGATGATAGATGATAGGGAAAATCTTTATTCCTTTATATGGTGAAGGCATTGTATATTTTCCTGATTTAGAAAAGTTTACATTTGTGCATTCCTATAGCATCGTTAATGTCAGTTTGAAATTTTCACATCAGCTGGAGCCTTTTCTGTTACAGGTTGCCAATGTATTTAAGTCCATTCCCTCATGAAACATTTTAACTAGAGCAATTATCATTGGACCCATCAATGGTATGTCCCAGCTGGAGTAATCTGTCACCCATTTAATCATAAGTTTTAGCATAATGAGTGGTTTTTCTATTATTCATTACAAGCAGATATCAAAATCCACGAAAAGTCCCCCTCCCTTTTCTTTTCTCTCCTTATGCTGACTTACCATACATGACAATACCATACTCCTTGCGTAATTTTGAGATGAATGTGCCTTATCCATTTTTTACGGCAACTGATATTTTTTGCATGATCGGACATTGAAAAATGCTTTTGCTTTCGCGATTCTGCGGCAGCTGCAAAGCTGTAATAATAATAGCCTGAAAAAATAATAAGTTGAATCGAATTAGAAAGTTAAGGAAAAAGGCAATTTACCATGTTGCCTAAATTTGAGCTAAATTAACATAGTAAATTGCAGTCTCAGAATATAATTGTTTCCCTCTTTCCCACTGCTGTACTAACAAGAGAAAATCAATATGATTACCATCCCACTTCAAACAAATGTCTCAAAGCTTTTCTTAATGTTTACTTCAGATAGAAAATTGTAAGCCTTCTTCCTCGCAGTCATTCGAGGGCACATCAGTATGACATTAAAATCAATATATTGTCATTGGTTGCAGTGTGATTCCTCTTACCAGCAAGTGTTTGAAAGTGATATGCAAGAATTTCAGTTACAGTACACTCCTGATTATCCGCGGAATTGGGTGTGCGTCCGCCACGGGTAGCAAAAATCGCGGATAATGCGAAAAAAGCTAAAACTGGGTGTAGCAAAAGAGAAAACAGTCATTCCAACTTTGAAAAATCGTTTTATGTACAATAAAACATAAAATAAACAACAGAAAATGTTTAACTAACGCTTAATATTTTAGTATATCACTCAAAACTAACCTAAAATGCATTTTGTTAATGAAAACAGAAAAGTGCTTTGTATACTTACGAGAGGCGTCAAGGAATACACAGAAAAATTAATGCATATGTACTGTTTTAATACTGTAATGTATTATGTAATTACAAAAGCATAACTGTAAAACTACACCTTTTTGAAGAAATCAGTCATTTGTGTTTGCTTCTTGCTTTGGAAGCATTTTCTCTTGATCCAAAATTGCATTTTTCGTAGCGTAAGTTTCTCGTCCAAATCCGCATCGTCTTGTTCTTCCAAATAGCTCAGCAGTCCGTCAACTTGTTGCAAAACCGCTTTGTGAGTCTTCCACATCTGCGCAGTGGGCTCTTCTTCGCCTTCACTTCGCGCTCCTTCATTCTCAGTCTCTCCCCTTGCTTTCTTCACAGTTTCGTCATCTGTCAAGCGTTCGAAGCCAGGTTTGTTGACGTCACACTCCAACCACTCGTTTATGTTTTCAGCATCGACGTTCTCACCACCCGGAAGCATATTTCACAAGTGCACATCTACGTAGCCACCGAGGGAGTGGCTTCTAGGATGGACCAATGGGCATCCAGTAATATTTCTGTCATATTACATGATCTTTCGCGTGCTTTAAGATTTAAACAAGATGATTGAAAATATTGTGCCACGCAATTTTCTGTACAAAATAATTAAAGCATCGTCAATTTCTTCTGAAAATTTTCATTGCAGAGTTAGATCAAATATAAGCAATACTGAAGATTTCGCTACCTGGCTGAAAGAATTTAAAATAAATACAAACAAATAAAAAGAATACAAGCATTTAAACAAGAAAACACTAGATTCATTGTAACACTTCCAGCCTTTCTCAGCTCAATTAAAAACAAAACTATACACTTGAATTCTGTTAATCCGCAGGTGTTAAGTAAATCCATAATATTTTAGGCTAATTGTAGCTTGAGTCATTTTATCGAGAGCGATAATATGCAGTGAACATCAATCCAAATATTAATACGTAATAAAAATAGCGAAAGTGAAATGTCAGCGATTAATTAAACTCGTAAAATGAAAGCACTACGAGATTTTGTACTATTGTACTATTTATAACTATGAAACAAATAAAAATTAAAACATAAACAACATACGCTCACATGCATGAAGAATTAGCGTCACAAGAGCAATAGAAGCTCATTGGTCCATTTTCGAAACCCCCGTCAGTGGACACGCTGATGTGCAGTTGTGAAATATGTCACACGGAACTGTTTTCACCATATCGGCAAGAGTTGCCGTGGGCTTGTCTACATCTTCATTCTCTTCTTCACAACTCGAAGGGGTTAGGTTGTTGTTGGCTTCAACATTAGGCATGAGTTTTCTCCATGATTTTATGAGGGTTGACGGTTTCACCGAGTCCCATGCAGATGCAATATTGTAGATGTTGTCCAAGATTGTGTAGTGTTTCCAAAACTCTTTCAGATCATAACCTTCCTCAATTTTGGTCATTAGCAGCTTGGTTCAGTATGTTCTCTTCATTGTTGCAATGACTCCTTGGTCCATGGGTATGATTAGCGCTGTAACGTTTGGGGGCAGAAACAGTAACATTTGGCAGCTTTTTCGATTTAAGATGTTTACGCACTCGAAGAACAAAGATTGTTTCGAACCATTCTTGAAAAATGTTTTGGTTCATCCATCCCTCTTTTTTTTTTTTTTTTTTTTTTTTTTGTTAAAGTAATCAATGAGCAAATTTTCTGTCCTTGTGCCTTTGAAAGGTCTCGGTTTTTTTTACTTTCCACTGACAACAAGTCTAAATTTATGTCCACCAGTAGCGTTACTGCAAGACATGATGGTGATCCTTTCCTTGACATGATAGTGCTTTCTTTATGACCCGCCGCTTTACTTTCACTTTCAAATGCTAAAGTGCGAATGGAAAGACATTTTCACAAAAGTCCCGATTCGTCGGCATTGTAAATTTGTTCAAAAGGTAGCTCTTCTTTTAAAATTGTAAATTTTAAACAATTTATTTTTCAAACAAATTCTTCAAATTCATGGTGGAAATCGTCGTCTGCTTTTTGGTCACCACTAAGTTTCTCCCCATGAAGTCCAATTTCTGGAATTCCATGTCGCTGCTTAAAACGAGTCAACCAACCAGAAGACACATCAAAATTTCCTTTAAGGCTTAACAACTCAAAAAAGGTTTTTGCCTTCGTCGCAATGATAGGACCATTTATAGGAGTACTCTCTTTTCGAACTTGAGGTAACCACTCTGTCAATGCCGTGTCTATCTCATCAAAGGTAGAATCCTTCATAGTTTTTCGCGTTTTCATTGCAGTAGCACTGTCCGACATTGATGCAAAGTTCACGAGTTTGTCTTTTTGCTTTAGAATGTTGCACACTGTTATTTCTGCGATTCCGTAATCCAATTCCATCTGCTGTCTTGTAGTACTGTTTGCTACTTTGGAAATTAATTCTAGTTTTTGCGCAATCATCAACACAACCTTCTTTCATTTTCCTGACATTTTAAATCGATAACGGAAAACACAAAACCAAAAAGCACAAGCACTGAACACAATAAAAGATAAGAAATTAATTCCAACCATTTCGCCTACACTATCAGGCTTAAACTAACAATGGCGAGTAGGAGGAAGTGGACATGTCAGTAAGATTAAGACGAGAGAAGGCGATGGAGCGGGCATTGCAAGGGTGAATAAGAAATCACTTACTCATCAGAGGTGAATGTTCCGAGAAGCCCTGGGATATTTTTGCCATAAATAAGCACGATGCTAGCAAATTGAACGTTTCGTGAAGTTTTGTGAATTTTTTTTTTTTTTTTTTTTTCTTTGCCTTATGCTTGGGGGGGGACTTTGTGCGGCAGGCGCGGATAATCAGGAGTCTACTGTATTTGGGAGAAAAATCACTGTTATGGCCCTCATGCTTTTTTAAGCATTATATTTTTCATTTCTAGAATTTATGAAGAAAAAAATTCCTGGTATTTCCAAGGTCTGGATTTTAGACTTTTGTGTTTAGTTTATCACACAGAATCGCAAAGATTTTATAAAAAATATTGTAAGTCTGCCTTCCATGTAATTATCAATACAAAATGCTTAGATCATATTATGAAAGTTTAAAGTGTAGGTAAATGCATATTCTTCAATTTTGCATCAAAACATTTCTGGTAGAGAGGGGCTTGTCATTAAAAATTATGCTGTTACTTGATGATCCCATGTTTTTTAAAAGGACTTGGAAGATGAACTGGGATTTAAATGTGACTTTCTAAAGATCTAGACCTGCTTCCCAACACAACTTCTCTGTTTCAATTAAATAACCAGCAGTAATAGCCATCTTCAAGAAACTGTACATTAGCGAACAAAAATGTGAAATGTGTTTTGAAGTTTTCCAGTTTCCATCTTCAGTGATACTTAGAAAATTACAAATGACCAAATTTAACATTATACGATCTAAAATCCCTCAAAAGACAGTCAACTCAGCATTGGACAAGAATGAGGAGAATGTGGAAAAGCTACTAAAAAGGAGCAAAATGAATTCACTGCTGAAATTAAAAGGCCAAAAATAAACTTCAGCTTAGGAAGAGTAGGCAAATATAAGGTACCACTGCTTATTGTAGTCCTCAAAGACCTTCACTGCATTTAATTTTTTAAATTGGTTTTTGAAAGAGGTTAACATAGCATGGGAGGTTAACAGGTCGTTTAGTGCATATAAGATGAAGTTTTTTTAATGTTTATGTTGAACCAAATTAAACAAAGTTGTTGTTAGAAAATAATAGTTTTTAATGTTTGTAATTGTCTTAAATTTAGTACTGTTTATATGTATGTGTTTATAATCTGATTCATAATATCAAGTGCTTTTTAAATTTAATTTTAACAACAATTTTTAAGGGTTGGCTCACTGTCGTCACTTACGGACAGTGCGTACTCATCTGGCTGGCTTGGTGAATCCAGTTATCGTCAGCGAAACAGAACCAACTGATGCATCTCAAGGACTTACTGAAAAAATTTGGCATCAAATGCATAACGATTCAAGAGTAACAGATTCGGCTGAAGTTTATAGGCTCACTTATTTTGGTGGAGTTGATCCCGCCATTCGAAAAGAGGTAATAAAACTGTGACTTATAAAGCAAAGTTAATATCTTAATAGTGTGTTTTTATTGCAAGCTTTGATTACATGGAATCCTCCCTTTTTTAAGTGTATAATAAATATCAGTGTTGGATATTTCTGATATGAAGCTGTACTTTGTATAATAATTAATTGTAAAAAAGTTCTTTTTTTAAATTTTGATTTCCAAGATTTCTTTGGTCCTATTAATTTTTTATATAAAAACAATTCAAGATTTATTTAATTTTTTTTTTCTGAAGGTATTATTTATGCACATTAGGAATAGTTACATAAATTTATTAAACTCAAAGCAATTAGATTATTATTAGTAACCATGCATCATTTTATTTATTAGATTTTTGTGTGTAATTTTTTAAAAGCTTTTCCACATCTGTTTGGGAAATTATACTGAAACTATAGAAGTGCTGTATGAATTCTCCTTTGACTAATTTATGCAATTCAGAATTCACCAAAGGCATTATTAGGTTTTTGAGGATAAAATTAGATAAGCTAGATTGTAGAAATCTGAAGAATTTTAAAATATAACAAATGATACACTATATATTCAAGTCATTATCATTTATTTATTAAAATCAGTCCTCACGTATTTGTTGTCAACTTATTTGGCGTTAGTAACTTGCAAAGTATTTAAAAATAAACTTACATAGAGTGTCTCACAAAAGTGTTCGCACACGCTAAGAATTTGCAGAAAAAGCACTGTAACCTGGAATTGAATTTGAGTATAAAGCCCAAAATTTTTTCATATCTCCATGTGATTTTGAATAAAACCAAACTTTTTAATATTGACTTATTTTTCTTTTTCTTGAATTGAAAATGTAAGGAGGCATAGATAAAACATGCCACAAAAGTGTTCATACATTGAAATATTTAAAAAAAAATTTCATAAATAAAATTATTGTCTACCACTTTTTTTTTATTTCTTTGTACGAAGTAAATAGGAAGTATTGTAATCGTGAAAAGTTTCAGGCATCATATTTATCTACGTAATAATAAATTATATATTTTTGGAATTTTATGTCATATGTCCCCTTTTGCAGTGCTGCAATTATCCTTTTGAATTTTTTCCAAAGCAAATGAGACTAGCTTCTATATTTCTGTATATCTGAAATCTCTCTCTCTCTCTCTATATATATATATATATTTTTTTTTTATTATTATTAAGACCTTTTAATGGAATATTTTTATCTATTGCATTTAAATTCTGTTGCACAATTTGCATTAAAATTGGTGAGTTGTTTAATATTCCTTTCAAAAGATTTGCATTGTAAGTTCTAATGGCCACCAACAGCCAAGCAGTAAAGTTGATGAAAACTGGTAGTTTGACCTGAGTTTGATTCCAGGCAAATGGGCTGACTGCATGGATGTCTTCATAGTTTTTAGGAATTATGGAATACTATGATAGGAATTATGAGCTAGTTTTTTTTTTTTTTTTTTTTTTTTTTTTTTTTTTTTTTTTTTTTTAACAACCTCCACAAAAGCGTTCCTTCCCATGGGCAGATAGCCCTTGCATACTTTGCTATAATAGAATAAACCAAACCAAACCAAACATAGTCTGGATGTGCTGTAGATGATATAGTTAAATCGGTTCATTAAATTTGGCTCAAGCAAACTGGTAATTTTGAAAATATTTTATCACTTAAATAGCAGGATTGATTTATTATTTACATTTGATATATTTAAACCTATGGCCAATAAATTAAACACATATGTTGATATAAGCTGAAAAAAATTTTTTTAATTCTTTGTTGCATGCTTTGTTGTATTATTTGATGCATTATCACTTACAAAACTATGAATTTCACATTTAAATTTGTTCTCACTTTCAAGTTCGTGAATAAGCTTTCATGATATCAAGAGCAAGAATAAGTGATTTATTGTATTTTAATTTCATCAATTGTAATCATCCCATCCTGTGTTTGGTGCATTTTAATCATCTTTGGTTTTACACCAATAACCGTCACTCACTCACTCAAGAATAACTGAATTTTCATTTTTGTTTGGGGTTAATGATGTGACAATAGCGTTTACAAAATATATATTTCATTTACATAGACACATGCATAAATTATTGGTTGATTTTGGATATTAAACTAACCATCTAGCACGCTATATATATATTGATTATTTGATCAACTAAAATATTATTGCCTTTCTCTATTTTTTCTTAGATATATCATTTTATAATTATCATTTTTTAGATGGGTTGGGCTTTTATCCAAGATGTAGCATTTATCCATTAATTTTATGTATTGAAGTTTTATCTGCACTATGAAATGAAGCATTTGTAGCTTAAAAATGTACTTATTTGATGATTTAGTTTAGAGTTTAATTTAAATGGTGTTTTTATAACATATTTACTTAGATCATGCACCATATGTTTTGTATTAGATCGCTCATAACCACATTTATATACTTGACACTAGATAGGCATGGAAGTGATTCATTTCCTTGCATTGCTCTGACATGGCTTGTTTAAAATAGTTTATGCTGTTTTGCTTCTTACAAAGCTTTTATATTTTGTATTCAATACATTAAAATTAGTAAAATTTCTTTAAAAATAATACAGATTATTTTAATTTTTGATTTTAACACATTTCATATCTAAAAAAAAAAAAAAAAAAAAAAAAAAAAAACCACGGAGAGCCTGCGATGTTAAAAAAAAAAATCCACTGATTGAAGTCATTGGCTGACTTTTCATGAAGTTTCTGCTTTTCCTGTTGTTTCTGTAAAAATTTTGAACAGTAAAATATTTATTATGTCTTAATGAGTTAGAAACAAAATTGTCTACTTCTGTTTTGCATCCAGAATATTGACACAATTTGAGAGTAAAGTTACTGATGGATAATTTGTCCATGTCATGCAGCAGCATAATTCAAGATAGTTAAGCATAAACTCAGAGAATATTTAAGAATAAAATATACAGCTTTTGTCATTAGTGATTCCACTTGGGTAATTTTGCATTGCTATGAAATTTAGAGACAACACCTTGTGAATATTTATTAAACATATATCTTTAAATTTTGTCCATAAATAATAATTTTTTTAACTCGTTAAAATATAAAGAATCTTTTACTAATTGAAGTTTTTTCTCTGCATTGTCTATGTAAGAAGTTTCTGATTATCTACATTCCTGGTTTTTAATATTCTGTTGAGCTGCAATATGTTTGATCTATTTCCAATAGTACTTGCAACAATAGCCATGTTTTAGTGCACAGAGATTTATATATTTATAGCTGTTATTTCATTCAACATTATCTACCTATAAAAATATCTGTAAAAATTCAAGTAATCTGTCTGTAAAAACGTATTTCCTCCCTTTCATTAAATTTCTTCTTTTTTAATTTTTTAAAAATTATTTATGAACTGAACTGTATCTAGAAGCTCTAAAGTTAGCCAGACAAGCATTTTTCACCAATTCACAAAGTTGCCAATGAGCAAAGAACTTTCTGTGAAGGTGGTTTCTGTGTGTGGATAATCAAGAAATACTGAAATTAAATTTTATTTTAACAAAGCCTTTTCACAAACAAATAAAATCCTTTGTTGTGAAACAGAAAGTAACTTTTTTCCCTTTTAAATAGCAATGACCTGTTAAATCATTTGGTAAAAATATATGTCTTAATAGGTGAAAATCAGTGAAACATTTGCTATTATATATGTGCATTGTATGATATAAAATTTTCCTCAAATTAAAGATGTAATGATGTTTTGTAGGTGTGGCCATATTTGTTAGGCCATTATGAGTTTGGAAGCTCTCAAGATGAGCGAGAAAAACACAATACAGATATACAAACCAGCTACGAAACAACTATGTCAGAATGGTTGGCAGTTGAAGCTATAGTTAGACAAAGGGACAAAGAAATAATGGCTGCAAATTTAGCCAAATTATCATCCGAGAGTACCAACAGTGAAATACCATTAGTTGGTAAATTTCTGTTTTCTATCAAAAACTGTTTCAATTTTACAATTTATTTTCATTTGATACATAACTGTTTTAAGGTTGAATGTATATTAAATTATTTATTAATTATTTACAGTATTCATTTCCTAAAACTGAATAATAGGAGTTGCACGTTGTGCTTGAGAGGTATTATTACATATAATTAAGGTTATAGAAAGTAACAAATTAATATATAGTGCTTTCTTTGGGTTGTGTTGAGATACTTCATCTTAAGAATACAGGTAGGTCTACTCACTGAATTTAAAATAGGCTATTCAATAAATAGTTTATTACTACAGTAATTCAATTATAACATAGTAAATATGTGATTTTTAGTAGCATGCAGTGATGTCATAATTTCTTCTTAATTGAATCAATTTGGGCATTCGGTAATATAGCATTTCTTTTTGTTAAAGGAAATACATTTTATTGTGATGGCATTCATATAGTAATTGTTACTTTTACTGTTATATTCTGAGCAAAAATTATTCCTTTGAAATGTGTTTTCCTCCAATATATTTTAAAGATGCAAATTTATAAGCAATGGAAATTTTGAAGATCTCGGTAGTTCTGAGATGTTTTCTTATGTTCTAAGCAAAAATTATTTCTTTGTGATGTGTTTTCTTCCAATAGGTCCCAAAGATGCAAATTTAAGCAATGAAGTTTTTGAAGATCTCAGTAGTGGAGAATATTATGATCATCCTGATGAAGAAGATATTCCTGAAGTTCCAGAAGAAGAAGATACTGCAACTGATAAGAAAGATGAGGTTTGCTGAATTTGTGATAACTTTTTTGTATGTGTGTGTAAATTATTTCTTGGTTATTGATTAATGATTGATTTGATGTTGATATTGGTTTACCTAAAAATGTTTTATAGGCTGAAGTTATAGTTATATTGCTCCTCATGTGCTTTATCAACTAATCATGAATTCTCTTGAAATGTGCATTTTCTAATGTTTTATAGGCTGCAGTTTACTATTCTCCTCATGTGTTTTATCAACTAATCATGAATTCTCTTGAAATGTGCATTTTCTAACTGAAAAAAATGGATTCATTATATACAACTTTTGATAAACTTGTTAAAATTGTGCTATATAGAAAATTATTCTGCTTCTTTTGATTACTAGGACTTTATTCAAACAGACTTCAATGAGACTTTTAATCAAAATTTTTAGAAATAAATTTTGATAGCATTTATAACTACATGAAATTAATATGCTTTCACTGTAGAAAAGATATATGTGTATGTAGAAAAAGTTTAATAATAAAAAAATAAAAAAATAAATAAAGCCTTTTCAAAAATTGATTGAAAAGGGTATATAGTGTGTGCTCTAGTTTCAATCTTGAAAACATCATCTATATGTGTGTAATACTTTTATAAAAAATATATATATATATATAAAATTGTAAAGTGCTGATATCTGAAAACATTTTAAAGAAGGCAACAATTTCAAGTAATGATGTGGAGTATACAGTAATTACAAGTATTTGGTCCATAAGTAGTACAGTCAAAAGTCGTTAATTCGGACATCCATAATCCGGAATGATCTATAATCCAGACCTCAAAGCTACGAACTTTCTACGGCTGCAAATATGCGTGTGAGCATGCGCGTAATACGTTTACGCTTGCGCGTTTAATGTATAATGGACGGTATAAGCTAAGCTAAAATTATCTAATTTAGTTAATGTTGCAGATTTCGTTGTTCCTTATTCTTCGAATTGGATCCGGCTTATTATTTTTTGCAGACTGTTAGAGCAATTTTATAAAAGTGAGCTTGAACTTTCGATTATGTCAAATAGAATTTCCGATATATGTTTACTAATATGTAAAGGATCTACAAAGCGAAAGTATGTTTAGAAGTCCATTAAACAGAAAGTGGAATTGCTGCAAAAAATGGATAAAGGCATATCCTTCTTTTCTCAAAACATTCCGAAATCTGTTTATCAATTTCACGCTGCTCTGCAGCCCGAGGGGGGGGGGAAAGCCAAAACGCTGCGGCTCGCTATGAATTGGAAGTTAATCTGTCAGCACTATCCTTATCTTCAGGGCAGATGTTTTTATTTTATTTGACTTATAATTCCTTACCAAATGTAGCCCCCCCAGGGGTCGATGTAGAGAACTCTGCGAAGCTACTGGCTAGGATCTGTACCTAGGCAGTCTCGGCCACGGGGGTATATAATTTATGAACTTGGCGGTTCCCGATGGTCCATGGGGTAGGTTTATACTTGCTCTTCATGGGCCAGGAGGTGTAAGTCCCTTCCACCAGGGTATTGGTAGCCAAATAGCAAACTGGGCCATTGAGCGTCTGGTCCCTGCTGTCCTTGGTATTCCATGTAAAAGCCTAAGGAGAGGGGCATCCCATGTAGGACTAGCAGGTAGTCCAAATTAACGGCCGGTCATCGACCCTAAGTTTCCATCTCCCACCCAACCATGGTCTCAGTCCGGCCGGGACGGTGGTCTTGACCGGCCCGTGTTTAGCGGTGGGCTTTTAATCGTTGAGCGATTAATAGGGGTACCATAAAATTGTTGGTGTCGGGGGTGTGGAACCCTGGGCCCAGCAGGAGTGTTTCAAGTCATCGGTGGGTGACGCTTTCGGGATTTTTCCCGTTCCCAGAATGTGATTAAGTTCACGAGCTGCGGTAAAAATCTTAGTTAGTTAGTTACCAAATGTAATATTTCATCTCGATGTACTCCATCTTTGATATGATTTAAATCAAATTCATCGTCATTATAAATACCACGAATACACATCAAATAGTTTTCTGGTTGCAATTTTCTAATTTCGACTATGCGTAAGTATGCTTTATGCATGCACGCATTCAAAGAAATGTTTAATAAAATAAACAAATAAATATTAAGCTTTTTTTTTTTTTTATTTGTAAATTTTGATACCCTTTAGATCATAAATGCTCTTTATTTCACATATTACAGTTTCATATTTTTAATTTTATAATTTCTGCATGCCATCTTACCAGATTTAAATTGATGATCTATAATCCGGAAAAATCGATAATCCAGAATAGCTGAGATATGTGCAAGATACAAGAAATATGGAACTCAAAATTATTAACTTTAATTTGGTTACATCTTTTTTTTTTTTTTTTTTTTGAATCCAAAATTTATCATGTCTGAAAGCTAATTCATATTCTCCTCTATTGTGAATGGCTCTCATCCATTCACAGAGCTCAAAATAAAGAAATCAAGTGTTTAAATATCGCTGTTACTGTTGTGCAATCGCTTTTTTTTCCTTCCAACTTAGCCTTGATGCTTAGACGCATGCTTGACATTCTGCTTGCCTGAGAATGTAAGCTTTCATATTTGTTCAGGTGCATATCACACCCATGATGATATTTGAACCTGTTTAATTACAAAATAAAACTCTGTTGGATGTCACCTTTGCTAAAGTTTTTCTTCTTTATTATGCCTCCCTAAGGATTTATGCTATCTTCTAAACTTCAAGTCATCTACAAATTGTATTTCATATATATATATATATACATATATACCTATATATAAATATTTTTTTTATTTTTAATGTCTAATTAAATGTGTAAAGAGTTATGAATGTTTCTAAGATGATAACTGAATGATCCAAATGAATGTTTCTGTGGAGGTGATTTCCTTTCAGAAGTCCATTAAAGTTTATTGATATTATTTAATAATGTTCTCAGAAATATTGGCCATTTTCATTAGTGATTGTTTGCGGGAAATGATTACTATGGTAGGTTTCATTGTACTATCATCAGTAATTTTATTTCATTATTTTTGAATATCATAATTTGTGGTTTTATGAATTATTGATAGCTGACCTTCTGTATTTTAACTCATCTTCTTCTGCAGGTAAAAGTAGCAGATGATTCTTCCATAATTGAGAATACTGAGAGTAATGTTGACCAAAAGGGAGATGAAGAAGATTCTGAAAATATAAGTCAAAAGAATGGAGAAAAGCAAAGGGCAAGGTTACGTCATATGCAAGGTTAGTTTATGGTATTCTTTTAAAGTTGTAAAGTATTTCTCCCGCCTTCTTAACGTGCCTTCGTGATGTAGTGGTCAGCACACTGAGCTGGTATTGCAGAGGTCCATGGTTTGATTCCTGATGAAGGCATTGCTAACTTTTCATCTCTCTGGCTTTTCCAATTAACCTAATGTCTCTACAATGATGCCTGAACTACAGGGGTTGTGGATGATAACTCTCCACACCCAGGATTTGGCAATTGGGTCCCTTAAAATCCCAGTTGCCCTTTAAAAAGAGGAGTATGTAAGGTATTTCTCCCACCTTTCTAGTGTGCCTTCATGGTGTAGTGGTCAGCACACTGAGCCAGTATTTCAGAGGTCCGTGGTTCGATTCCCGGTGAAGGCACTGCTAATTTTTCATCTCTCCAGCTTTTCCAATTAACCTAATGTCTCTGCAAAGTTATGTATCAGAAAAAAGTGTTATTTTATAATCTTGTTAATACAAAAAAAATATTAGTAAAGATGAAATGTGTATGGAGACTTTTTACCATATCTATGTATGAAATGTATATGTATCTATATATGAATATATATGTATTTATATATGAATATATATGTATGTATATATGAAAACATATCTCTGTAATACTTAAAGCCTTCAAAATGTGATTAGAAGACATGTATGACTTTGTTGTAATTCTAAAAATGTTAAAAATTAACATTGTTGACTTTTTATTTTTGAAGTCTGAGGTAAACCCAGAAATCATTCTTTTTTGTCATTACTTCCTTTGATTTGCTAGTATTTTATGTGGTTATATGTACAGAAGTATATCATCAAATCACTTTTCCATAAATAAATATGCCATTAGTATGTAGCAGAGTGACTGCATTGACATGCATGCATGCATGTGCCTGAATTTAAGAGCAGGATTCTGTAAATTATATTTAAATTATTTCACTCATAACATATTACCTACCTTCCATTAAACTACCCATTCTTAGTTGTGCGGGGATAAAATATCCTGAACAGAGTGGTGCTTTATGCAAAATAGGTTTGCTTAACACTCTTGAACCAAAATTCTTTTAAAGAAGGTGATGGTTGTTGGAAGAGGGGTATAATATCCTTGGTTTTCATAATCTAAGATGCTTTCTGCTAAAAGTGATCTAAAGTTCAAGCAGATAGCCCTCACATCCTTTGCTTAAATTAAATATTGTCTTTTAAACTGACAATGTTATTGCTTCTCCCCCTTTTTTTTAAAGTGCCTTTGTTTGGGATATCATTTTCTGTATTCATAATTTAAATTTCAGTAAATTTGATGATTAGGCATTGTATGTTATGCAGTAGCAACATCCTTTAAGTTAATTTATGATTAATTCTACTTTCTTTTTATTCCGTTTTGACCACTGCCATGCAGTAGATGAACACTGGTAGTTTTTCATGATTCGACATTTGCTGAAAGACTTATTCATGGGGTTTTCACTATGTATTTTAAGAAATATAAATGAATAAAAGGCAATTTTCTTTATAAAGACTTAACATAATAACACTGTTTGTTATAGATAGCTCTTCTATGTTTTGTTGTTGTAATAATTTTAATATTTTTATTTAGTTTTTCAACGATTTCATGTTTACTTTTATTTCTTTTATTAATGAGCTCCCAAAAGATATGACAGATTATTGAAAATTGTCTTTTATGTAGTAAGCTGAAATTTTAGTCTTGGATATAAGCAAGGATAATGTAAAAATAATTTGTACTCTATCTATGTAGAATGGGAACTTTTGAAATCTGATAATCTGAAATTTTCTCATGGTATTAGTGGTAAAAAATGGTATGCTAAAAATATTCTGCTATAATTTGGAAAGCATGCTTCAAAAATTTAACTACTCGTATTTCAGTAGGTGAGTGAAAAGTAAAATTTGGCTCAATAATAAAAATTATAAAGATGTTATGAAACATGAAATTATCATTTAAGCTATTTTATATTTAAATAGCCATTGAAAGCCAAAGCATCATCATCACAAATCCTTCTGTTGATGTTGGAAATCCTGTTTCTCCTTCACAAGTGCATACTGCTTTGGAAAATCCAGATGGAAATGTAAACAGCAATCCTTGTGAGACTCTCCTAGAAGAAAAAATGGAGGAAAGTGCAGTTCCTAAAGAAACTGGGGGAAGCTCGCAATTGCAAGAAGTTGAAGGAAGCTCACAACAGCAAGAAACAGAAGGAAATTCACAATTACAGACAGATCCACATTCATGCTGCATATCACCAGCATCATCAAGTGGTGGAGTTTACTCAGTAATTTTTTATTACTTCTAACTATTACTAATTTTGAGTTTTTATATTATTTTTAATTAATAAAGATATACCAATATGTTATAACATATACAAATTACATTTATATGTGAGATCTGAACTGAAAGTAATGAAAAATCAACCTAACTTTTTTTTTTAATTTTTTATTGATAGATGTTGTTTGGACTCCTTATATTATTAGTGTGATTTTTCCTCTGTGTAAGCATATAAAGTAATTTTTTACATTGCAAGTAAATAGTGCATACAAAATACAAAGTGTAATACTGAAAAATCCTGGTAGAAGAAAAATGCAATCTTACATCTACAGAAGGCTAAAAGGTTGACAAGGGCTATGTGCACAGTTGGATAAAGCAATTTAAAGTAGAAAATACAAATTACATAGTCAGAGGCTATCAACTACAAACAAGGACATTAATTCTTCAACGGGTAATTGAACTGATTTGGGCAGGTAATCCTATTTCAGCCTTTTTTTGGGGGGGGAAGGGAAGTGGGCTGTGGTTACCAATACAAAATATGGTAGAAAACGTAGATTATTTTAAATATGTACCTCAACAGCTGACCAATGATATTAAGAAGGGGAAAAAATGGCCATTCACTTTGATCTCTTTAAAGTTTGAAATAAATAAAGATACAGCTTTTTGCAGTTTTTGTTACCAAGAACAAAACATAAATATACCTTTCTGATCAAGAGATGAATGATTAGTTCCATGGCTATCATTACCCTCCTCTGCAAATCTATTAAACATAGAAATTACTGTTTTTTGACAAAGGCATCACTCTTCTTGATTTTTTTCATATATGGTCTTTACTGCGACAAGAAAATGTTATATTCATATTCTTCACAAACTTCAAGAAGCCATTATAAAAAAGGAGACCAAATAGAAACCTGAATTTTATTTCTATTTAACATGATAATGTGGACTTTCAGTCTTCTCTGGCAATAACTCATTGGATTAGCAAGTTGGGCTGAACAAAGATCTTCCATTTATTGTTATAGATTTGTTCCTTTGTTTATTCTTCCTTTGGACATCTGTTTCTTTGATCCAGTGTAAAACAATCTACTGGGGAAATGATTTCCTAACATAACCAAAATGAAAATGTTGATAAGAAAGTTGGTAATCAATACATATCTTAATTTTTCTAAAGAAAAATCAAGGGTTTAAGATTAAATAATATTTAATAAATTGTTTCTGTGTAATCCTTTTATACAGCATGTTTCAGCACAGCTGTTACATACTTCCAGGAGAGACGATGGAAAATCACATAGCAATGCATGGTTTGAAATGCTTTTCTAATGGAATAGTGACAGCACAAAACACAAGGAAGGAAGGACATGAACAGGGTGAGAAAACATGTTTATTATGCTTAGCATAGCAGAAACCAAGAAACAGGAACAAAAACAGGAAATGGTTGTCATCAAAGAAAGTGTTCAAAATTATGACCCTGTACCATGAGCCCGTACCAGGCCTCACATCTCCGGTGCATGGAAGATCTGATGTTCTCGATAATACCAAGTGTGTTCTCAACTTTTCCAGCAGCTGCCACAATGCGTGCAGCAAGTTCCTCAACACTGTTAACTGGGATTTCTTACACCAGTATTTTGACATACACTCAGAGAAAGTAGTCAATGCAAGTATGGTGTGGCGATCTTGCTGCTCAAGGGTGGTGCATCGGATCACTCCTGCCAATCCTATGTGGAGGATACGTTGCATTCAGGTGGAGACACACATCAAGCTGAGGGGGGAGGGACATTATGCTAAAACCATATGGCATGTTTTCCCTCACTGTTTGTGTCCTTTCAGTCATGTGTTTTGTGTTGTTACTGCTATGCCAGTAAAGCATTTCTGGCATTGCATTGCTATGTGGTTTTCTATTGTCTATGTCTCCTGAAAATTTGCAACTGTGCTGAGACATCCTGTGTACAGATGATCACCTTTTTTTTAAAATTTTATCTACATTTGGAGGTAAAGAGATTCATATGACTTAGGCCATGGTCTGGTTTTCAAAATACTGTTATAAAAGCCCTGCTTCTAATCCCTAGTGATGAGCCATTTCATCATTTGTTTTAACAGAGAATTGCAAGCTGAAATGAAAAAGCATATTTTGCTCTGTTAAGTTATGTGGTATCTTCATATCTTAGAGAATTATATATCCTTGCTTCTTTAAATGATCATGTGCAGTGCTTTTTGAAAGTCATTTAATCTGTGTGCTAGCTGTTGAAGAGTAAAATGGAAATTTCTTTGGTGACTTTTTTTAACAGGTCTTCATTTAAAGATGAAGGCAGTCAAGCTTTATCCTTGAAGCTGAAATTTTTATGTTTAAACTTCTCAAAACTATCTTCTAACTTTGCCATCAGTAACATGACTTTGTTCATATACTGCTTAAATTTTACATATTGTTTGACTAGCATTTCTTTTTCTTTTTTTTTTTTTTTTATTTCTTTTTTTCATGATATGATGAGTCATGCACCTTTAATGTTGCACTGAAATAAAGTAATATCAAAATATACAGAAGAATATGACATAAGACAAGCAGGGAAAGCATTTTTCTTTTATTAGCTAGAAACAAGATTACTCCATAACAACAGTAACAAAAATTAAAGGAAAAAAGTACTCTGATTTAAAAAAAAAAAAAAAAAAAAAAAAAAAAAAAAAATGAACTTTTCAGGGTGACTCAATAAGTTTTCAGAATTCTTTCAGCATTTGTTTTTAAATTCCATATAATCACACCTATCATCATATGGCAACATTTTGGGAAAATAACAGAAAAGGTGTCACAAAGTAAGTTTTAATTTAAAACTAAATAATTATCTGTGCAGAATTCAGCTACAGTTTTATATCGCAAATAATAAAAGCATGAGGCACCCTTGATAAATTTATGAATTTCTTTGGTGACTTTTTTTAACAGGTCTTCATTTAAAGATGAAGGCAGTCAAGCTTTATCCTTGAAGCTGAAATTTTTATGTTTAAACTTCTCAAAAAATATTTTTTGGCTTATATTTTTTGCAGTGTGAGTCTCTTAATAGATTTCATTATTAAGGCACCCATGCTGTTATTATTGATATAAAACTGTAGATGAATTTTGTAAAGAGAATTATATAATATCGTACACCCATTAAATTACACGATAAGTTATTTTTCGTAGAGTAAAATGGAAATTTCTTTGGTGACTTTTTTTAACAGGTCTTCATTTAAAGATGAAGGCAGTCAAGCTTTATCCTTGAGGCTGAAATTTTTATGTTTAAACTTCTCAAAACTATCTCCTAACTTTGCCATCAGTAACATGACTTTGTTCATATACTGCTTAAATTTTACATATTGTTTGACTAGCATTTCTTTTCTTTTTGATTTCTTTTTTTCATGATATGATGAATCATGCACCTTTAATGTTGCACTGAAATAAAGTAATATCAAAATATACAGAAGAATATGACATAAGACAAGCAGGGAAAGCATTTTTCTTTTATTAGCTAGAAACAAGATTACTCCATAACAACAGTAACAAAAATTAAAGGAAAAAAGTACTCTGATTTAAAAAAAAAAATATGAACTTTTCAGGGGACTCAATAAGTTTTCAGAATTCTTTCAGCATTTGTTTTTAAATTCCATATAATCACACCTATCATCATATGGCAACATTTTGGGAAAATAACAGAAAAGGTGTCACAAAGTAAGTTTTAATTTAAAACTAAATAATTATCTGTGCAGAATTCAGCTACAGTTTTATATCGCAAATAATAAAAGCATGAGGCACCCTTGATAAATTTATGAACATAATGGCTTATATTTTTTGCAGTGTGAGTCTCTTAATAGATTTCATTATTAAGGCACCCATGCTGTTATTATTGATATAAAACTGTAGATGAATTTTGTAAAGAGAATTATATAATATCGTATACCCATTAAATTACACGATAAGTTATTTTTCGCCTTTTGGATCATTAATTATTTTATGAGTTAAATAAAAGCTTATTTTATAAAACTTATTTTTTTCCATTTTTATCTTTTTAATCTGAATGACACATTATTAATAAAATTAATTATTATTAATTATTAACACATTATTAATAAATTTATCAAGGGTGCCTCATGCTTTCATTATTTGCGATATAAAACTGTAGCTGAATTTGAAAACTCATTCTTCAACAATGAATAATCATGCTTTTTTTTCCATTAATTTTGCTAAATCAAATTGTAAAAAAAAAAATTCAGCAATTTTGCCAAAAAATCAGGAATTACATTAAAATTTCATGCATAAAAATAATTTTTTTTTTACACTATTGGATCGTACCATCAATAAAATTCTGAGACTGTTGGTCTGTTCCTTAAATGGAAATACATATGAAAACAAACCAAAAATAAAGCAGTTAGCACTGAATTTTCAAAAATGTAAATAACATTTTGGAAAAATCACTTTAGCACATGTTAATGCCATCTAATATAAGTATGTGTGCAAGATTTGAGCTCGGTAGTTTATCAGGGAATAGTTTAAAAATGGATGGCAAAATTTTGATGAGTTACACAGATGTTGGATGAGTTGCACAGAAACTTATTAAAAAGTAGCTATTAATTTTAAAAAATTCTAGAAAGTTGTCTTTTTTGTTTGTTTTGTTTAGTCTCATGCTTGACCACATTAGCAACACTATGTAGTGTATTTGCCATGGATTTCTGAACATAGCTGAGCTACAACTGTCTTGGTATGTTCTTTTAAGTCGATTGTATTTAATTTCAGCAGCTACAGTGTTAGCACAGTGGCTAAACATTTGGAGGCACACCTGCAGGATTGGAAACAACATTTATCACAGCAGTAAACATTTGTCATTATTGTTTTGAAAGAATGTGAAGAGTTTGTTTTATAACCTTTGAATATTTCAAATAACATTTTTGGATGTTAGAATTTTAAAGTACCATAAAAAACATAATATTATTTCCTACAATAAAATTAAGAGAATCAACTTTAAAATGAAATACTGAGAAAAATGTATACAAATGGAAGAAGTTAAAAAAGGCATGGTAGATTTCATTGCAAATGATTTTAAATGCTAATCAATGTAAAGAAGTAAGAAAAATTGTGTGACATAATGAAGCCATAACCAGCTGAAAAATCATTTTTTTAATTAAAATAACACGCTGAATAACGATTATTGGAAGGGTTAGAATAGCAAGAATTAATGTAATATTCATAAATTTGCAGGGCTAGTTTTGGAGGTTTAAATATAGAACTTTTGAAACTAGTCCTGGAAATTTATAAATATTATGCTGATTCTTGTTGCTTTAACTCTTGCAATAATCTGAAGAACTGATATTTTGCCTTCTGTCTCATATTGTAGCATATTTTTTTAGAAACATATATAAAATCGCCTAAATGGTATCTTTTTATCATTCTTGTTTTAAATGAGGCAGAGAATTTGTTTTTTAATCTGGGAAAATTTTTAAACCATGTTAACCATTTTAGATGTTGAAGTTTTAAAATTGTAAATGTTCATTAGTAAAAAATATAAATAAATAAACCAAAATAAAGCAATTTTTGAGGATTTATTAAAAAAAGTAGAAATTAATTTTAAAGTACATGTCATTTATTTTCGAAGATTTTTCCTGCTCCATCCAGTGGTACAGACAGATCATGTGATGGTGCATTTCTGAAATTTTTAGTTTGATTGTTAAACAGAGATATGTTCTGAGAATTGTTTCAAATTATTAAAAATATAAATTATATTTTAAATTGTTTATTATGTTCTTAAAAACCAAAATCTAATTTTGAAAAATCGACTTTACCACATTGTATTCTCATCCACAATCAGTCAAATACAAGATTTTAACTAAACAGCATATAAGAAGTAGTTTAAAATTCAGTGTGAAACTTTTCACTACAGCAACAATATAAGTGAACTAAATAAAAGCTAATAAAAATAGCTGTATTTTGCTTTAATTTGATTGAGGTTGTTATTCACAAAATTGATGAATATCTTGGGCAGAATTTCTTTATATGGTACTCAAAGCATAAATATTAGGAACCTGTAATGTGCAATGAATTTCATATTCTTTAAATAGTTTTCAAAAATGTAATTTAGTAGAGTTGTATTGATAATTTTGTGTCATTGGTCAGGGAGCTATGCATGTCATTTCATCACTTTACATTATTTATATGAGGTTTCAGTTGCATATTTTCTGAGTATTGTGGAATATTTAGTGGTATTTTGAAAGGGAAATACTGTGTATTCTTTAAGCAGTAATAATTTGCCCTTGAACGTTCATTCCATAAAAATTTATCCCAGATTTTATATTTCTTTGACTTGCACATGCTTTTACTATTATAAGGATATCTGAGTAAATAATCACTATGTTTCAACGTCTTTGTAAGCAACTGTGATCTTAATTAATTGGCAACGATTATGATCTGCCATAAAATTTATATTGTCTGAGAATTCACTTCAAGGAAAAAATATCCTAGAGAAAAGAACATACTAGCTGCAAAGGAGTTTTTGTGGTTTTTCTGTGTATAACATAAATACAAACCAGTTTCCCATAGAATCCCTTCCTCTAGTGTACTTTGCTGTAATCCTAGAGCTTTCTTTAGGATTACAATCCAAATAATCCTAGAGCTTTCTTTAGGATTACAATCCAAATAATCCTAGAGTTTTCTTTAGGATTACAATCCAAATAATCCTAGAGCTTTCTTTAGGATTATTTGGATTATTTCTCTAGCATTATTTAAACTTTGCTGAACTCTAATAATAGGAAGTTCAGCAAAACTTTTAATAAATCTGATGTTTAGAAGAATTAATATAACTTGCAGTCAGCTAATTATTCTTATCTGAAAATACATAATGTGTGGTATAAATACGTGCTCTATGGTAGAGATACAAAATTAACATAGACTAAAATGTTCTCAAAAATCACTTTTTAAAAGAATGAAGGAAATATCTAGATACTGGTCTAGGTCCATACTGAGTGCTTTTGGTCCATTTTCAAATTTTGCTTGCATATGCTATCCCAAAAGAAAAGAAAGAAAAATTCAAGTATATTTAACATTTAATTTGAGGAATGCATAACATAAATATATTTCTACAAATCAAAATATTAAAAAAATCAATTGAATTTTTTTAGATATAAAACTGAAAATGTGTGATCGTAGTAAAAAATGTTTGTCCCTTTCAACTTTCATGTTATTCAACCTAGGCTAAAAATAGAGATGGAACCATCTCTCTTTTTAACCTAGAAGTATAACACCTCTAAGCACATATTCTATTAATGATGTCTGAGGAATATATCTTCTCTGTTGGTTTGAACATGTGAATTTTTTCTTTAATTGGAAGAAAGAGTATGGAACATACTTTTTTGCCACCAAGTATACAAAAATGGAAGGAGACAATCATGCTTCAAATGACAGTGTATCCTGCATTCCCTTATGATATTAATTATACTTGAGCAAAAAATTCATTTTTCAACATACAATGATGAAATTGTTGAAAAGGGCCTTTTTACGATGAGTACTATGAAAGCCAATTCACGTGGTAGAATGACTGACAAGCCAAGCATAGTTTGGCTTCTGTTACTCAGAAGTTTGGAATTGATAAAAGTGTTGTTTCATGAGCTTGGAAAGCCTTCCAAATGCTAAAGAAAGCTGCTCTAAGAAAGGTTGCTGTTGGTCGGCCGAGGAAAACAGTGATAATGTTGCCATATTTTTCCTTAACATATCGCAAAAGTGCGCTGTCTTCCACAAAATGGCATACATTGCCTTTAGCATCACAGAAATTGAAATTCAATTTTTTCAGGTACACCGGGAAGTGCCCATGTCCAGCGATTGTTTGATTGTAATCAATATCTGTATCATTCTCATATTTTTAGAAACCTGAGAACTTAAAAGTTAACTTATTTTTCCCCCAAAAATGTTCCATTGCTGTTTTCAGCAGTCAAAATATAATCCTTGATTTTCCCTATAACAATTCTTTTTTTATGCCTGAATATCGAACTTATCCCCTGCATTACTCATAGCAGCTTCTTTATCCAGCATGTCAGCCCCCTGTTGCCTGTAACACCAACATGCGCTTTCACCCAGTTCATTTTCACGTCATGTATTTTTTCAACCTTTACAAAAAGCTGTTTTATATATGAGATCAAAATATTATTATTATCAGCATGTGCTAGTGCTTGTAAACTAGAAAGGGATATATATATATATATATATTCTTACAGTCAAGTTTTTATCAATTCATTATATGATAGCAGACAGCTTGGCCTGAAAGAAAAAAAAAAATTATAAGATTCAAGTCTAATTTTGTGTAGTCTGTTTCTATATCATACAAATGAATTACATGTGTTGCACCACCTCCATTATTGAAACTCAAACCATCTGGAAGTATATCCAGTTGTCCTATGCAGACATTTGGTCTCTGATACACACCACTGCTTTTCTTAATGTAGTATGTACAAGGTAAATATTAAATGGAAATGCATTAATGATGAACAGATAGCTAGAGCTCCACATTTTCCACAGAGGTTCACTTACCAGAGATCATTGCAGAAATGAAATTACCCCCCCCACACACACACACAAACATCTTTTCTAGGCTGCCATTGGTACCAACTTTGTTTTTATCGGTGACGATGCATGGCCAAACAGGACTCATATTGTTGAAAAGCTCCTGGAAGGTGAAAATAGCCACTGAACAGGTCTACCAGCTAGCTTCCTTGATTTCAGTCCCACTGAACATGCATGGGATACTTTAGGGAGATGCCTGGCAACATGATCTTACCTTTGGGGAAGAACACCAGGGAATTGAAACACATGCTTCTTGAAGAATGGGAACTCTTACCCCAAGAATTGTTAGATAATCTGGAGTTGAGTATCAACAGGCATTGCAACGCAACCATTGTAATTAGGAGAGGTCATAGCCTATTAATTCTTATTCGGTTTACTTTTCTCTCTTTTCTATGCCAGACAGTATTTTGTGCCAATCAGCCTGTCAAGAAAGCCTTTATCTATTCGTTCCATATTATAGTATACATCCTATTAATTTTTTTGCTACTAAATCCTCATCCGTTAAGTACTAGATTGTGCCTCTCTAGTATTAATTTAATGTCTCCCAGCTGATTTTTCGTGGAATTACAGTGAAAATCAGATAAGCTTTATGTACTAGTATACTATAAATAGAAAGGATTGTGATACTCAGCTGTAACTGAAAAAAGAGTTCATATATACTTTTTTAATTTCTAGAAATAGCATAAATGTTTCCCTCAGAGCATAAATATTATTATAACTATGTTCTAATCTTAAGTTTTAATCTTTTGCATAATTTTACTGGTTTTAGGATTACATAATTGCTACTCAGAATTTGGAAAAAGTTTATCTGATAACTTGTCTTTTGAGCTGTTATAATTTTTCAAACTAGGTTGATAAAATTCTATAATCTATCTTGTGCTTTCTTTCATTTGGGGAAAAATATTTTTTCCCCTTCCTTTCTTGTATATATAAATTTATATTATATGCTTTAAGGAATTTTAAGGAAAAATCCGTTTATAGTATTTGCATTAATTTTATGTTTAAAAAGAAGTGTTTGCATTTTTATAGTTTTATGAGTAATGTATATTGGGTTAATATCATATAACTCTATGTACATGTATATATTTTGTCTTCTTTTTGAAGAATGAGCTACTGGACTTATTTTCTTTAAATCTGCATCGAATTGACAAAGATGTTCAGCGTTGTGATCGAAACTACTGGTACTTTACTGGAAATAATTTGGAGAAACTCAGAAATGTTATGTGCACGTATGTATTTACGTAATGTATTTATTAATTATGTAATGTATTGTTGCACATATGTATTTATGTAAGGCTGTAACTTAATATGTTTATGCATTTTTTTATATTACACTTCTTAAATAAAAAATAAATCATTTTTTCTTTTACTGTATTTTTAGGTATGTTTGGGAACATTTAGAAATTGGCTATGTTCAAGGAATGTGTGACCTGGTTGCCCCACTGCTTGTTATTTATGATGATGGTATGAGATATTTACTTACTATCTGAATTTGTTATGCTTTTTCATCCATATGTTATGTATGTTATGTTTTTTTTTTACTTTATTGAAATTATATTATATTTTAAACTAATTAGGTAGGTAAATTATAAAAAGAGATTAGATCATGAAAAAGAAATTTGTAAAAAGTTTATTATTATTATTATTGCTCAAAATGTATGGAGTTTATTTTCTGCATGTTTCTTTTATTAATATATGCTTAACTTATTGCTTTGTATGTGATTTGTAATTAAGGCCACTAAATAATGTTATGTGTTTTGTGAGAAAGGCCGCCGAATAATGTTAATTTGATAATCAGATTTATTTCATAGATTAACATAGTGTTTAGAATTGTTTTGGATGTTGTCTACCACTTTAATTGTCAAACATTTTCTCATATGTACATTAACATTGTCAGTTACAGTTGTTTGCTTTTAAATTGAATCATGCCTTAAAAAAATTTTACAGCTCATTAGTTGGTCAAGTTCAAGCACTTTGATAAAACTACAGAATAATTCAAAATAATTTTATTAAAGTAAAAAATAGCAACAGCTTTTGCATTTCATCAGTTGAATTGATTGTTAAAATGGGAGTAAAGAAAAATGGTTGCTTACCAATGGCCAAGGTGATAAAACCACCGATTAATGATAATTTGCCCTTTCTTCAGATCCTAATGAACAGGCTGACATATGGGCATTTCCATATTTTTTCCCATAAGTAATATGAATATAAGTTATTTTCCATTAAAAAATATTCCATGAAAACTTAGGAAAATAGTTCTTAAACTTTTCTTTATGCATATTTTACTGAAAACATTTATTGTGCTAATACTTGCAGCTCAGTGTTACCATTTATGATAACCATGTCTGCAATAACCAAAATGCAGAGTCTTCAAGGAAGAAGGAAAAATAAGATCCATGCCTTGAGGGAATGCCATTAGTATTAGTATTTGTAGCTAATATTTGTCAGTAAAGGCATCTGCATCATATTTTGGACTTAAAAAAAGCTGAGAGAATTCATCAGATATGAAAGAAAAGTGTAATTACTTGGTGAAATCCACAATTTTGGTATCTACCAGATAACGAAGAAAGTTGTGCAGTTTTTGTCACTCATCAAAAATGGCCCACAAAAGTCCTAAATACCCATTTTATTCTTCCAAATAATCACCATTGGCTTCAATTACATTTTCCCAATGAGACACAAGTTTATAAATGCCCTTTTGAAAAAAAAAAATCCTGTTCTATGGAGTCCAAAAATTGTGCTATAGCCTTTGTGACATTGTCATATTTTCGGATCTGCTCTCCTTGTAGGTCCATGCCCAAGGTGGTTATCCATTTAGGTTGGGGTTCATTATGAGAAATTGTTTCAGTTCTTGTGTATGATTTACGATTGGTGAAAAAAATACCCACTTGTTTGCTGAGCATAGAGACCCTTGTCATTGAAAAGGAGGGTCCTGTCCTGGTAGTTCAGGGGCAAAATACTGTTTTCAGCGCGCTCCTTGACCTCTGCTTCGGCTAAATGGGAGGCACTTTGTTTCCACATGGTGTCAATTGACTAGTCTCTCTATGTTTTTGTTGCCATTTTGAGGATAAGATTTCAGGAGCTTCTGCTTTTGGGATTTCAGTCTGCGTTAGTTCTGGTTAGCCGTGGTGCAGGAACCTGCATCCTCTTTTTCGATTGCATGATAGATGGAGCCGCCAAGTCCAAATCTTTTTTCTTATTCAGTATGGTTTCTCAAAATAAAACAAATGTAGAAAATAAAAATGTTTTGCAATAAAAAAAGAAGAAAGAAAGAAAGAAAATCAAGGCAAATGAGACATGTGGAAAGACAATAGCATATTGCTCTGAACAGGATCCAGGAGTGGTCAAATAATAAGGGATTTATATTTGCAAAAGAGAAGACCATTTGTGTGCATTTTTGTTAAAAATGGAATCTTGATCCTGAGCCCGAGCTTCACCTTCAAGGCTCGTTAATTCCAATTGTCCCTGAAGGTAAGTTTTTAGGAGTGATGTTTGACCTTAAGCTTACATTTCTTCCCCATGATTTGCATTTAAGGAAAAAATGCTTAAAATAGTAAACCTGCTGAAAGTGTTGGTGAACACCTTATGGGGTGCAGAATGTTGCTCTTTACTTCATATTTACAGAGCACTTTTACACTCCGGATTAAACTACGGGGCAAGTATATATGGATGTGTAGTCTTTTGTTTTAGTGAAACTTGATCCTGTCCATCATCAGGTTCTGAGAATTTGTTCTACAGCCTTCTGGACTTCTCCGAACCATAGCCTACATGTTGATTGTTATGAACTCTTGTTTCAGTTATGGCATGAGCAATTGTTTCTTTGTTGATATTTCATTATTCTGTCACAATCTGATCATCCTCAGCAGATCTGTGGGCTTGATGACTGTTATAATTTTATTTTTTGCATGACCCCTTAACGTGCTTTCTTTCTTGGAAGGACTGAATCATTGATAGAAAAATATTGCTTCTCTGGGTTTGAAATTTCAAGCAGTGAAGGATCTAAATATCCCACCTTGGGATAATTCGAAAATTGAGTTTCTGGGTGTGTTTCAACATTTTGTTAAGAGAAACACTACTTGCATTCATCTCTAAGTAATTCCAGAAAGAAAGTTTTATAATTTACACTGCCTCATTAAGTGCTCTAAAATGTTTAGATAGTTTTTCTGATGCTTCGAAATTCTCTATTAGTTTCTAAGAATACGTAAAAAATTAAAGGGTCTTGGGTATAAGATTTTTTCCTGCTGGGTCCTTGGATGCCTAGGCATAAAAGGTAACAAACTGGCAGACACAATAGCAAAGTTTGCAATTATTTCCCCAAATTCACGTGTTCCTTATAGTGATATTAAAATGATCATCAAGCAGAGAATCATAAGTAAATGGCAGTTATTCTGGGAAGATCAGTTTCTGAATAAATTTAGAAGTGTCTAACCTAAAGTACACTATTGCGAGACCACTAGAAATTGGAGGGAGTAAGTCTTGCTAGTGCATCTTAAGGACTGGTCACTCACGAGTCACACACAATTACCTTTTGAGGACAGAGAGTGAACCTATATGTTCAACTTGTAATAGTTTTCTATTTGTGTTTATTTTTAATTGAATATCCACATTTTAACAGACTTTTTCTGAAGTATTTTAATGACTGTGACTTACCTGTTGACCATGTAGGAAAGAGGCCTGTACAAATTCATTTCACTACCTGAAAGGGATGGGTCTGTATCATTTAAGCTGATTTTGTCTTGATGTTGCAGCTTGGTATTTTAATGTAGCTCATGTTTTATGATTTTACTTGTGTTTTTACATCTGATATCATTATCTGAATCGTATTTTTCATCCCAGCTTTAGATGATTTTATAAGTGGGCTGTTGTTTTAAACTTGTCGTTATCTAATATGTGTGCTTGTCACTTATTTGTATGTGGAAGTATGGAACTTGTATTCGGCACTTATAATCTTTAAGGTTTTGTGTGAGAAATCCAATACCAATGGCAAAACAACAGATCAGACTTGGATTACTTGGATGCATATTTCAAATACAAATCAAAAATTAAGAATTCATAACATCAGTCATGGCTAAAACAAGTCAGTTTTAATTCTGTCAACTTCATCAAATGTTCACCTCAGAGCTATAACAGTTAATCATATCTGGGAATGGGCTGAACAAACCTTATTCTATTCACCGAGGAGCTAAAATCACTCAGAATACTATAAGCAAGAAATTATGAAACCCTCTTTGAATTATGATTTCTTCTTCAGAATGTACCCAAATATGAAAGAAGTTTTTACATCCCACTGATAAACTTTTCATGGAAGGTTCAGTTCATAAAGCCTTACCATTGGATACCAAACAGTCCTGATGCAGCATCATATTTTCATTTCTTATGTGTATATCTGAAAAAGAAATTAAATAAGAAAGTTCCTATTGTATATAAAGTCTTAAAGATACTGTAGGAGAATAAATGAAGAAAATTTCCAATTCTGTGTTTATTACTTTAAATTCATGGATGACTGAAATAGTCTAATCTCCATTTTAAAAGCAGTCATATTATAAGAAGCATCAAAAATGATTACCTGAATTTTTTTATAACTGTGTATTATGTAAGACAAAAGTCATTCGTTAAATTTCACTTCATCACTTCATTTGTTGTGAAAATAGTTAAGCTATTAACTGCTTCTTATAAATAATTTTAAATCATATTTTATAATTAATTGTACTTAAATACTATTTGTAACCTCTTTTTTAAGCATTCTGTTAATACACTGGTTATCATTAATTAAGGTAAAATCACAAAAATGATGATTACTCAAAAAGTTATATGCAGAATTAAATAAAACTGAGTCACAGTATACAACAGATATAAAGGTGTAAAATAGCATGAAAAGAAATTACCAGGCAATTGTGTTATAGAAATTAGCATATGCATAAAATGAACAAATTGAATGTATCAGTTTGAGATAGGAAAATTACCTTCAATATTGTGTATGATCTCTAGCACACGTTGCAGTGCATACAGTGATGTGTGATGCTGTCAATTATGCAGTGTATCTGTTTTGCAGAAGTATGAGCCATTGGAAGCATGGCAAGCAAAGCAATTGGAAGCATGGCAAGGGTCTGAAGAGGAGAATTGAGAACAGCTATACGTCTTCCTAGAGCATCCTAAACATCTCGATAGGATTTAGTAGGTTATTAGATCCACAATGCAAGCCTTGTATGGTCTACTGTTGTTGTCCTGTAACAAAATATCATCACCCATTGCCTCAATATAAGGGTGCACATAAGCAATCATCATCTCTGTAGGCCCGAGCATTCACATTTCTATATGGAAAGGCATGGAGGACTGTGCGACCACCTATAGAGATACCATCCCAAACACAGATACTGCCTCCTCCATATGCATCTCTTTTATGAATGTTTGATGGAATATAACAGATTCTAGGTTCTCTCTGAATTATATAATATCTACTGTCGCTTTGGAGGCTAAACTTGAACTCGTTCTTAAAGAAAACAGCCCTTCTTTGATCAGCTGTCCAGTGGATATGTTGACATTCCCACCTTCCTTTCTATGATGTGACGGAATGGCACATTAGTGACTGGTTGCATTTCATACAGACTTCCTTTGTGAAGCCTTCTATGCATGGTTGACAGTGACACCAACCTTCCTGTGGCTGTAGCAAGGTTGGATCTGACTTGAGGTTATATTCCTGCATGCGCATAACAACAAATATCAGTTATTAATTCTTATTATAGCGGTTGTCTAGCCTTGGTTGAAACTCCTGTATGCTGAATCTGGGGTTAGAAACTATTGCCAAAGTCTATGAACCACAGAAGGGCCCACATTTAGTCATCTGGCCACTTCTGTGACTTTATCCTGCCTATAGTCTCCTAATAGCTCTCTGATGTAGTTGTATGGGCAAATGATGCTTGGAGGTTATTGTTACGAATTGACTATCTCAGATTTTTTATCTTAGTACCACAGCAAAATTTGCAGGCTTACTCTCAAACGTGCAATTTTATGGTCCTCGCAGATGATGTATTCCAATTGCAATGCCACAAATTTGCAGACTGCAGTTTTCTTCAGCAACTCTTATTTGGCAGCATTTTCAAATTTTACATAGAGAGGCTTATTTTTTAATGTGTTATCACTATTTTTGTGATTTTTATTTCATTTTTGGAGACCGGTATATATGCAAATCCAAGTATGTTAATGTATGTATACTAATCAGATGGTTCATCAGTTTTTACCCAGTGGCTGAATGAATAAGACAACTGGTTATCTACCTCTGGTTTCAGTTCCAGCAAAATTTGCATAGTAGTTCATGATTTTTCTCATATGAATGTCAATAAAAGACACTTTCCTTTCGAAAATTTTTCAATTAATGTATTCTTTCCCAGGTTGAGTGGATAGCTGTAGCAAGTTATCTGCCTGTGCTAGAAATAATCCATTTTCTGCCTCATATATCTTTAGGACTCCTAAAAAAAGGAAAAACCAAGCCATTTATGTAGCGAAATGCATCAAACATTTTCTGTTCGAAGTTAATATCAAAGATCTGTTAAATTCTGCTAATTATTGATGATAATTTGTAAACTATTTTAAACTATTATGTTCGCTTAATGTATGTTAATTCTCTTTTAATATCTGCATTGTTTACATAAATATAAATGTATGTGTATGTATGTAATCCCAGTCATTGACACAAGCACATTTTCTTATATTATTTTCAGAGGTTTTGTCTTACAGTTGTTTTTGCGAATTGATGAAAAGAATGGTAGCTAATTTTCCTCATGGTGGAGCTATGGATGCCCATTTTGCAAATATGAGATCTCTTATTCAGGTGAGATTAAAATAATTTAATTTCTTTTGTTTTAAATAAGTAATATTATATCTATAATCCTATTTGAAAAATTCTGAGGTTTTACAAACCAAAGTATGTTTTCTTCTATTTATTTTGTTACTGCTGATAAGACATGACCTTGGTTATAGCAGATGTTTAAATGCTTATATTGATGCTTTATGTATAGTGAGACTCATATATTATGAATTACTTGAAGGAATTGTATATTACAAATTATTGCCACCAAATCAGACAATAAATTTAGAAAAATACTCTTTCTAAATGGCAGTTTTAAAAGCAAAAATGGAAACTGATTAATCATCAGGGTGTTGTCTTTCATCGTGATAATTCTCGACCTTATATTTTGAAGAATATCAGACAGACTTGCTAAGTATGGTTGGGATATTTTGTGACACCCCATATATTCACCAGATCATTCCCTGTTAGATTTCTATCTCTTCATGTCACTTCAGAATTCTCCAAATGCCTGGAATTCATTTATTTATTTGAAGACAGTCAAACAGCACCTCAATAACTTCTGTACGAATAAACTGAGTGACTGTTTTAAAAAAGGAATTTTCCAACTGCCAGAGGTATGGCAAAATAATCATAGAACAAAATGGTGCTTATGTAACTAAGTGAAATTATTCTTGTTTCCATACTGTTTCATTGTTGTATCATAAAAAGCTCAGAACTTTCTGAATAACTTAATAAAATATAATTATAGATTGTATATTATGGCTTAGAAATTGTGATTTAAAATATATTTATAATTAATTACATGTAAGGTGTCTAAAATTGTGTAATGAACTATTCTTCTCAAAAGATAAAGCTTCAAAAAATATATGTAAATGAGATAAAAATTTCTTATAAGAGATTTTTCATGATCTTCTCTTTGAACTGCCATATTGTTGTTTCTTTTGTTATGGTAATTTACTGACTTGTGTATTATACAATGTGGCATAGTTCAGATCATCAATTAATATAAATTGTATTTGATGAAGTTCATTATAATATTTTAGAAAAATAGAAATGAAGTCATGACCTACATACTGAAAAATAAGATGCATTTTCTGTTTACTGTGAAAGCTGGTAGACATGCTGCCAAACTTTTGCCAATCATCCCAGCAGAATTTTGAAGGAACAGAGGGTTCTTTATTTAAATAGATAATCACAGATCAATCTTAATTCATTTACGTAATCAAGACATGCAAATTGCAGATCCAGCATAGGAAGATTTAAATAAATATGAGTCCAAGCTTTAAAACTATCTGAGAAACAAATTCATTAAAACTTACACAAGTCATTCCTGCCACCAAAAATTTCTAATAACATCTGAAATAGTAACAGATCAGTTGTTACCATTTCAGATGATGTTTCAGAAATATTAACAGATTTTTAAACCTGACACCACATAATTTGGGTGCATGAAGATTAGTATTTAGATGAATTTATGTACCATACATAAATTCATCTAAATACTTAGTTGTCTTGCACAGCTGTGTATTGTTTTTTATTGTGCCATTTTGCCAAACCCCAGAATCTTTCAGTGTTTTGAGTGTGCATGCTAGTTTCTGGATGTACAAAATTATGTTATTGAATAACTTTGAAATTTTTAAATCCTGCAGTTCATAATTCATTAGTTTTGTAGGCCTTCCAAGAATAAAAAACAGTTATAGATAAAAAAATTAAATAGATGAAAAATTTCATCTATTTAATTTAGAACACTGGAATATGGAGAATTAATTGGAGTTAACATGAAACCAAAGAGAAGACCTTATTGAGTGGGTTGTGTCATCAAGTTTATCCATTATTGGTGCTAAATCATACTGTTTAGTGACAATTCTGATTTGTTGAAATAGTCGATGGCAAAATATGTAAGTACCAAAACTACTAAATAATAAAGTTTGGAATTCTATTTCTTTCACTTAGAAAAACCCACTATGAAAATAACTGTAGTATATATAATTAGTTATTAGATCATATATATGTAGTAGAATGCAGGGGGGTTGAATCCATAATGAACAGCTAGAATTTTGATGCGTAGAATAGTAAAATGCCAATCCACAATGAATCAGAAATTCGGCAGTCAAGTTAGATTTAATTCAATTTTTATTTCAGTAATCATGTCGCGGCCACAAACAAGTTGGCATATTAAATGTGCCTATTCCAAAAAGTTTACATTTTAGATAAATTTGCTATAAGATAGAAGGAGCAGACAGACTGCAGTCCAGCTAGGCCAATGCATAGAAAGGAAATGCGTTATGTTCAGGGTAAAATCTTAATTCGGACCGAGTTTAGTTTTGGTTCTCAATGCATTTTTATTAGATAGTTAATTTTGCTATAAAATTACTGTTGGCTGTTTTAGTTCCATTTACATCATCAGAATTATTATGACATGGATTAGTCTCGAAATGACGCAGTGTAAACAGAAGTTACTATTTTTAGAATAGAGAAGGGAAATTAATTTACACTGCTAATTAAATCTTTTACATATTCTTTAGAATATCCAAATAAAAAAATTCTTTTTCCATGACTGTTTTAAATAGATGTATGGCACAAATTATGAATGTAAAAACTTATGAATGTATGTAATGTAAAAAGTGTGATTCTATTCCAAGTAGATACAACTTATAAATGTATCTACTTGGAATAGGAAACAAAGTGTGATAGCAGTAAATTTTCTAAATTTAGGATCAAGTAAAAAAGCTAAATCTAAAGTATCATATCTTTATGTAAGACAGATTAAAAATGTAACAGATACTTTGAGAAGATAATGTCATTTTGATTGCAAATTTAAATGAACTGAATGATCATTATCAAATACCTGCATTAAAATTATTGAGAGTATTTTAAATACAGTTTTAAGATGAAGAATGGAACTTGAAATATGCTATTTGATAAAAATTTAGTTTTAGGGAAAAAATGAAATATCTAAAATTTTTAGTGCAACAAATCTGTGAAACTGATCAGAAAGTATCTGCTTCTAACAAAATGTTTGCACCAAAAAACATTCTTAATAAATAAGACACAATAACCCGCCGAATAAATACTAATTCAGAAGTCCAACAATAAAAATCAGAGTTATATTTTCAAAATTTTCACAGGACTAGTTTCGATGATTTTACCGAACCACCACCCTCAGCTGCAAAACTGCAAATGAACAACATAGGAAATAATAATTAGATAAGATAAGAAAGCCTGGACAAGAATAAGCAAGTGGTGCCATCTGTTGGTGAAACCAGAACTAAAACATAATTTCTTAAAGGCCGAGGCAACGATTTGGATTGGAATTAGGATCGTTAACTAGAACAGAAAGATTTTATGATAGTGAAATGCCTCTAGAAAATCCAGTTCTCCAATGGAAGATGTTTTTTGAATAATTTTGGCAGCAGAAAAATTGAAAGTGTGATTTTCGGACAAACAATGTTGAGCAACAGGAGACTTCTGTGTTTCCATTTTTCTAACATATGCCTCATGTTCCTTGACGCGAAATTTTAAGCTCTCCTAGTTTGGCCAATGTAAATCAAACCACACTGGCAAGCAATCTTATAAATACCCCAAGAATTCATATCCGAAATTGGGTCCTTGAGTATGGAACTTGGAATTTTTTGATGGGAGATAACAACCCGAAAGTTAAATTTCTGCAAATATGTGCAACTTTATAGCTAATGATGGAAAGAAGGGAATGACAACAGAATTTTATAATCTCCTAAAATAAGAGTGGCTTTTACGGTGTGAGATGAGAAGTTTTAACTGCTTGATTATATGTGGGTGAAAAGCCCCTGTCATAGCTATGCTTTTAAATAATTAGTTCTTACAAGGGCTATTTGGAGGAGCAAACTTGAAGAGCACGGAAAACATAGGAATAAAATGAAGAACTTTTTTTATCGGATGACCGATTTAAAGTGTGGTGGAAGGCAAACCGATGAAGGTTTACGGTAAACTGTAGTACTGAAGTTGATGTGTTACGTGTGACCAGAATGTCGAAAACGGAAGAGAATTGCAAGTTCAAGTTCAAAGTGAACTGAATAGCAGGATCAATAGAATTCATTGTTGAAAGACTTATTTAATCTCTTAGTACCTTCAACCAGGGTAAAAGTATCGTCTACGTAGCGGAACCATGCCGGGAAGTTTAAAGTTCAAACATTTTGATTCATAATAATGCAGAGATATCAGCCAGATGGGACTGAGGGGGCTTCCCATGGCTAATCCCTCAGTTTGCTTGTATATTTATTTTGGAAAACAAAATGTGTTGTTTCAAACAGATTGAGTGAGAGAATTAGCTCATCAATTTCGAGCAAGAGAAATGAAATTCGCGAAGTCGGTTCTAGACATCTTATGCACCCTCCACTGGGCCTTGGTGAATAATGATTTACATCAAAAGAAACCATGAGAATTCTAGGAGAATGTTTTTAACCTTTTTACAAACTCTATTGAATTTTTTATGTGTAAATGTATTGTCATAGAGTGGAATTCAGAACTAAATATAGCTAATGGATACTAGGCAGTACCTAAATTTGATACAAGGGCGGAAAGGAATACCACGTTTTATGAATTGTGGGAAGACATATAATCTGGCACAATCGCAACAGATGGGATAAGCGAATGTTTTAAGTTGCTTGAAATGATTTGCGAAGATTTGATCGCAGTTTTATTTGGACAAGTCCGAAGGTGAGGATCTTAGGGATCGGATTATAGGTCCTTATTTAAGAGTTTAGTG